CCATAAACTGTGATCTCACAGGGCAACAAACTTTTACCCTCCTTTAGATTCTTGTTCTTACTGAGAGATGCCCAATATAACATGCAGTGAGGAATGGACAAGTCTTTTCTAGTAAGAACACACTTTTTGCGAATGTATACTTAAGGCCTTTGTGAAAGTCCACGCAAAATCCGTAGAAGAAATGATATTTGATAACGGATTCAACCATGATACTACTATTTTTCAATTGTGCAACTACCGCTTCACCAATAGAGTGAGTTAAAAATCAGTAATTATTACTCGCTCATCCTTGTAGTAAGTGCTCCGCTTTCGTTTTTGTCGAACCAAGCCATATCTTGCTTGAGAACAGCCGCAAAATAACGATTACGTATTTGGTAGACTTGTCGCTCGCAGACAGTATGCCAGCAACACATCTGCAAAAATTCGTTTGACTATTGAGCACATCAGATCCCATGAAACCCACAGAGAGAAATCCTAGCACAAACTGCCCAGCACCGAACAAAGCGTAATTTTTGACTGAAGTCATAGCGAGTTGCTTGAACTCATAATCATCAAATATGCCCATGTCCCATTCAAACTGGCCTGTAAGTAGGGAAGATTTCAGCGCTGCAAAACTTTTGTAATTTTACTACCTATGATAAGTGCATCCGTAAGGTGTCTGAATATTAGTGATGAACAAGAGTTCAGAGTACCTTGGGTTGCAGCAAGCAACGCCCCAAAGAACATCAGGAAATAGTCCAATTTGGTTGCATACCGGAACTAAAAATTTCTTTACTCCTGAGAAATATTTTAAAATTTTCTAACAAACTGCTCCTCAAATTCGTTTTAAGACTGTCAAGGATCAAGTCTAGTTTTTTCAAAAAGGTTGGAAAGACGTAAAAATTGAAAGAAAACTCTTGGAAATTATTGACTTCATTTCCTGTAAGCTTTTGAAGAACATAAATAGAAATTTAGTAAACCACTTGCAAACGAATCAAGTGAGATCCATGGAAACTAGAGGGATTGACTTGTGGCACAAAAATTGTTTTAGAGAATGGTTGGCAAGAAGAAAAGAAAACATTGCACAAGTGAAGAGCTTTACAGTGCATAAAATCGGCTATAAGACAATCGCCAACTCTTTTAAGAAAAATCAAAATCTTCCCTATCGCAAAACAATAGACCTATGCGAATCTAAAACAACTCACCAGCACTGGGATGGGCACTCTGTCCTTTGTTTCTTGCGTAGGTGTTCTAAACCTGAATTTCAGATCAAGCCATCTACACTCAATCCTTCATTGGGTAATCTAGATAAATGATGAAGAAACAGCTGTCAAGTTCGTAAAGATAATAAATGATTGTAAAAACTAGGATTTCAATGGACTTGTAAGCAATAATTTGACTCAAAAAACATAAACCTGTAAGCTTATAACTTCTGTTCTTCAAAAAGCATGAAAGTCAACTCTGGCAGCGGTTTGAAGCTAAGATAAATAATTGAGAAGATGGAATCCAAAAAACTTTCCACTTTTTATCCTGAGCACATT